TTTTCAATCTTCTTTAACTTCATAAGACTGCTTTTAATGAAGACCATTGCGTCTCACACATTATTCTATGACTACCGTTTTTTCTTTGCAATTTTTGATATTCAAGTTATTTCTTCAAGAGTCAGAGTAGCCACATACTCTAGAAGGTGAAATTCAGCTGTATTTTAAATTGGACAACTTGCATGCCACTGCCATGATAGGTCAAAGATTACCTCAAGAAAAACTGGAATAGAGGGCAAGTAAAAAGCCTGACTTCCCCTTGACCAGACCACACATCTAGGGAAAACAGAATTCTGGGTTTCTACTCAGTTCCCTACCCTCCCAGAGAGGCCTGCCCCAGCTTTGACACCCAAGGAAGAAACCAGGAAAAATTCTTAATTTAACTTAATACCTTCTCTTACCTCACAGTCTATTGGCCTTACTTCCAAAATGCATCTTCAGTGCATTTATATCTCCCCAGTGCTCCCCTGTGTCAGCACTCACAACAATGATAGAGCCCCTATTTCTGCTCTCCCTGCCATGATGCTTCATCATCTATACTGCAGCAAGGATCACTTGATTATATAAATCAAATCATGTCATACCTCTGCTTAAGATCTAATTTCCTTTTCCTTTTTTTTTTTTTTTTTTTCTAAGCTAAAACTCAAGTACCTGACCTTGGCTTAAAAGGATCTATCGAAATGATCTTTTCCTCTTCTTCATTTTCATCTTATGCTCTTATTCTTTACCAAGAGTTGTGGTCTTCAAATTCCTTCAGCCTATTAAACTCTTCCCCACCTTTGTATGCCTTCCCACCTCCTAAACCACCTCCCAAACACTTCTTTATATGGATATTTCCCAATTTTCCACCCAACTCTCCTTTCAATGTTTGGTGTCAAACTCACTTTTTCAGAGAGATGCTCACTGGATATCTTTTATGAAGTAGATTAGCAGGTAGATTCCTCTTGTTAAACTTGATGCCTTCCTGGTTTCCATCAAAGTACTGATCAAAAAATATAAGATTTCTATTCATGTTTAACTCTTTATGGTCTATTTCCTTTAACTTAAGTAAAAGATCCACAGGGTAGAAATTCTGTCTTTTTACTCATGATTAATTTTCTCAGCACCCAACCAAGAATTTAACTGTTTGAGAAAGAAGTGAAAGTAATTGAGAACATAGATAAGTAAATGAATGAAAGAAAAATCTTAATTGGCAATAGCACAAGGAAAAGACATAGAAGAATCCCAGTCATAAGAGATATGTGTTGAATTAAAAATATAGTTTGGTATTGCTGTACATAATAAGTAAAAGAAAATCTCCACTTAATAAAGAAATCTGAACATGGATTGAGGAGGCTGAACCCAAGATTTCCTCCATGCTTTTTTCCCCAAGGACACATGCAGCCCAGTGTCTAGATTCTAACTATTAAAAGAAATCAAGAAAGGTCTGAATTTCCCACGCACAATAAAGTACCTCCTTCTTCATTCTTCCCAAGCAGAGCCATGCCAGAGAGTTCCGCTGGCTTCTGAGCACAGCTTCCATGTGTCAGAACCCTTTCTTCAAGTCTGAGTGCTCAGTGATTTGAACTTGCACTCTCTGCGACACTGCCACGTGTGGGTGGTAGCCAGCTACATTTTTCATTTTGAATAGGATGCATCCACTAGCATCACAGCCCCACACCAAAACTTGTTAATGCCCACATCTGTATTTTTATGAATCAGGTCCTAAATATTTGCATATGTTTTCAATCTAAAAGGACTTACTCCTTTCTAGTGGTTCAAGAATAAAAAACAATCTTGTGTTCCATTCCTGCTCTACTGCCAGAGTTCACAGTAAAAGCTCAAGCATTCAAATGTCAAGACAGATGTGGCACTAGATCTCATAAGATGCCTTGATGAAGCTTCCACTTCACTGAATGTCCACAAACCTGGGACCCCATGTTGGGGTGCCTACAGAAAATACCCCTCATTCAATGGAAATCAAGAGTTATTCACTGACATAAATGATTGCCACATCAAGTGAATTTCCACAAAAGAAAGTAATGGAGATTTAAGCAGCTGCTTTTCCTGTATTTTGTAAAACAAGTTATAAAGTATAATGAGGGCTCCTGGGGGCATATTTTCTAAATCAGAAGTAGGGGTTTCAGAGGACAGTGGTTGACTGTGCAGGATAGGTGTTCCCAAGAGTGCACCATCTTCCTGAAAATTTGATGCCATGTACGGAACAATAAGGTAGGTCATAGATCCCTGAAAACAGAAGTAGAATGATTCATGTGGAAGGGAACTCAAGAGAAGCTGGAGGCAGAATACAGGAATATCTGATGAATATAAGAGGTGCTGACTATAGAAATTTGGGGGGCATACAAAATGAAATTGTGGGGCCCCTTGCTTAAAATTATTAAGAATTTCAAGAGGGTGACAGAAGAGCATTAAACCAAAAGCAGCCCTTTAAAGTTCAGGGGTCTATACACTAGCCAGGTTGGGCTGTTTAAGTGGGGCACAGTAACTGTAGGGGGTGTTAAAGTTCTTTAGAAAAGCAAACTTCACCAGTCTTCTTTGCTTCCAGAAAACACCACCCTTGAATGATCACAGTGAGACAAATAAATCATGTCTGGGCTAATAACTAGAAGTGGTAACAAAGGGAGGGGCTGTCAGGGTTGTTAAGTTAATTCCAATTTGCAGCAACTTTTCCCAAATTATGATTCATTTCAGCATCAAAACAGCAGATTTAAGCCAGGCCCTTCTGATGCTATTATGAGCATATTACTGATGCCTAGTAAAATAACTTCTTGTAATGTTTCTTTTATAAGCATCATAAATCAAAATATTCAAACAGTTAATTTTTAATGTGGCACTCTTATCCATCCTTAGTTATAAATTGAATGTCTCCTTAGGTCCTACAGATTGTAATGTGATTCATACAGGTGAGATACTGTTCAAAAAAGAAGGTTCCCCTAATATTTCATTATTTAAATCTTTAAGATATGATTTAAGAGCCTGAGGATACTTGAGCAAACTTGTTTAAAGGAATCATAAAGAAAGATAAGTAGTTTTCCTCTCAAGCCTATAAAATGTATTACAACATATTAAAATAGGATTACATATTGACTAATTTTCAGAAGTCACTTGATTTCCAGGGCTATATGGGGTTTGAGGAAATTCATGAAGGAATAAAGGAACTTGGCACCAATTCTACCTTGAAGATGACAAAAAGGTGCCTGTCTTGTGGGATGACTCTGTGGAGGTTGTGAATCTTATGAAAGGGCAATAAAAATTCTTATTATTCAGGAGAAGGCACACTGCCGCCTGGTGCCCCAACACTTACAAGGGCAGAGGAAGCAGAGTCCTGAGACAGGACCTACATTTCTAGACAGCCCATCTAATTTGTGCAATCTCCTTTGCCCACTGACTCCATGCACATCTTTGCTGGTTAACATTATGAACCTTTACTTCTCATTTAATATTATTTTGACTCAATTTGTACTTTTATTAGTTTTTCTGGACAAGCTTGCTGTTTCTCCTAGATAAGTTTAGGGCTTCTCAGACAAAACTTTTGGGGTTTCTCTGGTCTCCCATCTCCTCATTCTGACACCACTCTGCATTTGAAAGAGTTAATTCCGGTGCTTCAAACAGGAAAAGGAGGAGAGAAAAGATATTCTGATGTGACCAGGAGGTGTTATTTCTTTACTATATGGAAAATACCAAGTCTGAAAATTAACACCCTGGGTCTTCCAACCCCAGACCCAGAGAAAGCCTCTGAGGGTGTCTGCAATAGAGCCAGCCAAATAGAGAAACACACCACTGAAACGGTCACCCCAGGGCAAAGTGCACAGTTATTATTTTAAAATGCCCTGGAAGCACTGCTGTCACGAGCTAACAAGGTTAAGGCTGGGAGGGTGGGGAAGGCACACCTGCTACACCTAGGGTTGCCTCTTTAGTCATATACCCGATGACACTCCAGCATTGTGACATTTCATGTTTCCCCAGAAAAAGAAGTGCACATTGAATACTGTTTGAATATAAAGGATCACCATGACTCACAATCTACCATAGTCCATGTTCTGAGCATAATGTGCTAGGCAGTGTCATTGACATCAACAGCAGATTGCAAGTCACCACAGGTAAGTCAACCCCAGGGACCCTGTGTCTTGGCGCGAAAAGTAAACAGCTGCAAGTATCCTGGACAGGGGTAATTCTCAGCAGTGAAAGCCACTAGAAGTCACTGTTTCATTTATAACCAAGTGGCAAATTACATGTACCACAATTTAGTTACAATGCAGACAGCACAGAAATAAAAGGTGGGTTCTTAGAAGCTAACAATCAACCTTTAAAGGAGCAAAACCCTCTGAAAAATGCAATATTTGATATTTACAATGCAAACTCCATAGAAATACAATTGCAAAAAAGCAACAGATACAATGCCACTGATAACACCTGTTGATATTAATATTTCTGTTCTAATTTGTTTAAAAAGTTGCAGTTACCCATTCACCACTCCTATGCCTTGATCCTTGTGTTTTCTTCAGAGCTGCCATAGAAGATATACAACAATCCATTAAACGAACTTCTTAGAGATGAGTGGTTCAACTCCATGGGGATAAATAGTTTCATTTTCCTTATTCCTTTCCAAACATTTGACACAACCAGAAAGACGTGAGAGCCACACCACACTGGCATATCTGGTAAGAGCAAGCAGTCGGCTGAAAAACCACGACCAGAGAATTGTGACAATTTCTGAGTCTGCAATCATGCCTTTAAAAGTGTATATAAATCCTAGCAAGGGCACAGTTTACATCTTAAATAACAGAAACATTTGAATCGTGCTGAACCCAGCCCCAACAAGGCAGAGGAATCATGTGGTTGCAGGGTTGGGGGAAGCAAGGAGGGGGCTCTTGGGGATGGTCACAAGACAGAAGCAAACACAGGCACAGTCACAGACATCAGCCAACACAACTGAGCACGCACACAACACTAGAATTGAAGTTTTAAAGGAAAAAATGACATAAAAGATGGTTTCTCACCCCTCAAAACAAAACTGGAACTTTGGTTTACAGGCCCGGCTATGCCCATATGCCCTCCTCGTCATCCTGTGGCCGGCACGGGGTAGGGAGGTGCACGGAGAGGAGGGAGCACCGGAATGAAAGAAGAGAAGGTTAGTTACACCGTGATGTACTGCAAAGGCACACTGAGCGTCACTATGTTTTTTAATCTTACAGAACAAGGGGGAAAAAATCCATAGTAACTTAAGTTCCACATCATCAACTTGTCAAATACATTACTGAGTTTTGTATCTATGGCAACCCCCACATAAAAACATTCCATCCACCCAGCTCTGACTGTGTCAAGATTGGATTAGAAGATTAAAATTAGTCTACATTAGCAGATGATTATTTTTTGGGAGAGTATGCAATCTGAATTGCATATGTCTAAGTAGTAGATTAGACCTCTTAAGCAAGCAGAGAAGTAATTATAGTAATCAAATACCCTTAATTTCTCTTAAGCTTAAAGTATCAATAAAGGTTGGAGAAGAATTAAAACACACACACTCACACACCGCCACCTCCATCCACTTGATGGAATGCACTTTGGTGGCATGTGGTAATTCACAGTGGCTGTTTCATAAAGGCGCCACATAAGGTGATCTTCTCCATCTGGCCGATTCTACTTTGCTTTCAGGACTGTCCCATGGAGGGCATGCCATGGGACAGTCATGCATTTTCAATCAAATAAGTTTCAAAGAGAACTTAGAAAAGAGAGTAAGCTTTCCATTCAATAGAATGTTGGTAATGAAGAAGCTTTGTTTAACTTAAAATTGTGTTCAAATGCAGATAAACTGAAATCGATTTGGTTTAAAATCGTGTTGTCAAAACTTTTCCAGCATGGCCCTGGCCACTTCCCTCACATGGCAAAGCAGCCCCCAAACACAGAATTTAAATCTCTGAAGACATACACACATCCACCAACACATAACCCTGATTTGAACCAGAATTTGACAGTTTGCTGCTAAGCTAGAAACAAAGTTTAGGGCTGGGTGGTTTTCATCCTGGTTTTACACATACATTGAAGCTGTGTTCTTTAATAAATTACCCACCCACCCACACACACACACACACAAACAGGGTTTGGTGTTATTTGTTTCTTTGTTTAAAAACCAAGAACAGGGAATGTTTTCTCATTATTTGGATGCTTTTTGTGTAAGTTCTAATACTAGGTTAAATTGTATAATTAAGTCAATGTTGGACCATTTTCAATCTAGAAAAATAGCAATTTCATATGTTCTAACTTAATCTTGTCAATAGGCCAAAGTAGTTTTCATCTACTCAAGGATTTAATCTGCAGTCTTTGACTAAGTTTTCATATAATTTGTTTCCTTAGTATTTACATTTTGTATGCATTTAAAAATATTATTCCAGACTCCAAAGCATTCACAGTCAAAAATCCTTGATGGACTCCAGTCAATCTTTGTAGTTTGAAGTGGATAACCCATTGTGACACTGCACCCATCGTTTAGACAGGAACATTCTAGCAAAAACTAAGATACAACAATTACATTAGATGGGTCTTCTCATGTAATTTTACCTGTGATAATTTATCACAGAACAGTCTAGAATTTCTTTTTCCTACATAACTTGTGAAATAAGTATTTTTGTATTCATTAGAATTTCTCTGGGATCCTGGAGAAAAACATAATTGATGTCTCTTTTTATGCTAATGAAGAAGTAAAGTCTGCCACATGGGACCCTCAGGCACAAACAGGGTCAAGGGGTCTAGCAGTCCCTGGAAGGTCAATGCTGAAAGTTGTGGGCATGTGTTTAAGTATATTTTTCTGGAAGGACGCCCTAGCTTTTCTTATAAGGGTTTTGACCCCCAAAGTCACTGCTGTAAGAAAACTCCAATACAGAGGGATGCTATAATGTGCCAAAGTCACACACACACAAAAATAATAGGCATTTCCTAAAATTCAGCCCCCCATTCTTACTGTCTGCTTCCTAAGTGGCCATAAAAAATAGTTTCTAAAAACTTTTACATTTAAAAAACCAACAGTGTGTCTACATTCAGCACATTTCAGGTCCACTCAAGGAGGGTTTTAAGTTTTTAAAAAGGGAAAATAAAGAGAAAAGCCACTGCTACTGAAATCACTATTTTCTTGACAGTGAAATGTGTTGTAATGCAAATCACTTTTAGAAAATTAAATATATTAAAAAGTAGTAATTAATTATGATTGAAACAGACAGGAGTTGTAGCTTGAAAATATACACTGCCAATATCACTACTGTGCCTCGTCCACCATAGGAATAAAAAGGAGCTCCCGGATGTCGAGGGTTATTAAAAACCAGATGTTGAGATCGACGTCTTGTATGCGGGTGAATAAAGTAAAGAAATATGACAGTCCAATATAAACTATGCTAACATTTAACATGGCAGAAATGTGGATAAATTTCTTTAGTGAACTTGGAATATTATGCATTTTTTTCAAGTTTTTAGTTTCAAAAGTTTAAAGTTTTTAAAAGAAAATCAAAAGGGAAGGGGTGGCCCTTCTAGTCTCTCTAATCTTCAAAGCTTAACATGAATTGACCCTCATCACCAAGTGATCTGGGTCAGACTGAGTGTCCGCTTGGGGAATAAAAACCAAAAATGCAGGAGCTAATCAGAGAGGCAGCTCCCAGTATTTCCAAACGTTCGCAGCTGTGAGGCACCGGGACTGCCTGCCTTCCCACATGCAAATGGGAATTTGCTCGGCAACCTTACCGCACAGAAATGAAAATTTGGGGACCAAAAAATAAGAAACAGATAAATATCATTTGATGTCTAACTTCATGCCAAATTATTTAGAAATACTTGGCACTTTCCAATCCATCTATCAGGCTGGGGAGAGTCTGTTTCCTCCCCTTGTTTTTCTGTTTCCCAATGGACTTCAAGTGGCTGTTCTGGATGCTGACTGGTGTCTGCTCCCTTGTGAGTTCTGTGCGAATGAATGCTGTGCCAGGGGCTGCCAAAATATCTGGATGGGAAGAAAGCCTCCCGTCCATCAGTCATCTGTGAGCTTTAGTCCACAACATCTGCGAAGGGGAATACCCAAGGTGGGCTGATATGCAGAGCTCAGGGACCACAAAAGAGCAAACTGTGAAGAGAGGGGAGGCTTCACGATCATATAACTCTGTTTCCGTGGCTCCAGGGTGGTGCCAGGCTTAATGTGTACACTGGTCCCTGACACTGGGTCTTACTGCGGTCCTCTAAATAAGGAGATAGCTGAAATTTCTCTAAGGATGCGTCACTCAGAGCAATGTCAGACAGAATCTAAGGGCAAAGGGACTGAATCATCGCTAACAGGACAGGAGTTTTGCTGTGGTGGGGGGGCTTTCCTTAGCTCCAGTAAAGCAGCTCTAGGGAGGAACTTAAATTCTGACATGATAAACGACCAAGGCACAGCTTTATTTGGTCTCATTATGAAGTAGGTGCAGCCAATAGGCAAGCCTCAGCCCATAGCTGGGCAGTCTTTAGAAATACCTGCAACTCTCTTAGTTAATAGCTGGTTTTCTGTTTGAAATTGGAGGACTCGGTTTCTAATGGGGACCTTGCTGTCACACCTGTCCTAGCTGGAACAGAATGAAATTATGAAAGCACCATCTTCAAGCCAGCTTACTGTCTCTTTCAGAACTCAGTTGGCTGATTCAGCTAGGAAGTTTATCCTGCCTTCCCTGTGGGAGGGAACACGAGGATATCGACCTGCTTGGGACAGGGTCTGATGTGGACCATAACTGGAATCTCTGACACTTTCTGTAAACCTTACACTCCAGGACTCTGCAATCTTTAGCTGCACATATCATGAAAGGACCACAGCATCAAATGTGTCACATGCCCTGTGTCCAAGCCACAACTTGACATTCCAACCTGTCTGGAGCTGGGAAAGAGAAGTGTGCATCCAGGAAAACAACAGGTGCGAGTGTAGGAAACGGGAACCCCCAAGTCTCAACAGGGGCACTAATAAGTTTTCAGTTAGGGCCAAGTGCAAGCCGCCTTTCCTCTAAAGTCTTCCCTTTCATGTCTTTCATTTCTCCTGCCTCCTGGAATGCTTAGCTCATGGGTAGATTTCAAGCAATGTGGTCAGGAATAGCTATAAACTCTTATATGACTTGAATAGGATACAGTTTATGGGACCTTCTTCAGGCAAGTCCCCCTACCACCAAAATAGGAAAGTCCAATGAAGGTTCAGGTGCCAGCTTCCTGCTCTATTTCAGTGTTAACGTTAGCTTACTTCTGACCTGCTCTAAAAAATGAGCCAGTGGGTATTAGCTTCTGCTTTAGAGAGAGTGATAACTTTCCATGTTTCTTCACTGAGCCTTACCACACCCCATGCCACAGGTGTAGAAAGGAAAGCTCAGAGCGAAAGATCAGGTAGCTCGCCAAAGGTTACCTGGCCAGAAGCCATGGAACCAGGGTCAAATTTCAGTCTGTCTTTCCACAGAGATACACCCTTCAGGCATGTGAGCTATGGGACAAAAAAAGAAGTGCTTGTTCTGACCCCACAAGGGGTTTGCTGGTTTGGCTCAGCTCAGCTCTGCTGTACTTTGGACTCTGTATTGACCCTTCCCAAGCTGCTGAAGCTGCTGGCTGGAGTCAGATGATACAACTTTGGTTGGGTCCCTCCAGCTCTTAGAAGAAAGAGAACCTCATATGCCACAGCAGCTGTCCCCAACACATTTCAAGGTAATACTTCATCCCTTCACACTCCTTTGCCATGGCTTAGATGTGAGAACTTAGCAAATATTTCCAAGTAAGTAAGCACATGTGGCTAGGTGCTTATGCTTTGGAGGGACTAGACTCTGAGAATGCTGCCTGGATGCCAGAGATCCTCAGGGTCCCCAAGATTGTGTTTACTTGTTTTTCCCTCCAATGGTTTCCTCCCCTTCTCACTGCACTAGAACATTCTTGCTTTTTCTCTCTAACTTGGCTGATGGAAGCTGAATGTCACTAAGGAGAACCATGACAGAAGCTATCCAGATTTTGACAGACATACTGAGAGCTTCCCAAGGTATAGGCAGAGCCAGGGCCTATGCAGCTGGTGTGGGTCCCTCTCTGCAGTTTA